AGATTATTTACTACATTCACCACACAAATCTGTATTTTCTTTTTTGTTATGAGTGAACAAATAATAAAGACACATACGTAGTAAATATTTAATCCATAGACTTGAAATTTTTAAATTAGCCACAGATCAATCTTACTATTTGTAAGATCAAGTGCTTACTATTTGGGTAAGATCATTAGTGTTTCATCTCTCTTATTAAGTTAAATCAAAGAAATGCATATACTGACAACACAGAATTAAGCTATGACCACAAATAAATGTATCACACTTCAGAATCTGCAAATTCTGAACCCAAATGCTATGAAATCATCTACCACCAAAAAAAAAAAAAAAAGAGGAAAAAAAAAACCAACCTTCTTAGGCAGGCGGTAACTTGGAACATGTAGTACAGGAGGAATTCTGATTCTGGTTTTGATTGTTTCTAAAGCTTCAAACTGGTATCAGGATACACTCATGAGTTTTTGTTTATTTCATCAACACTTTGAGTTATCACTCTGTGTGTGTAGGGCATATGTGTACAAATGCCTTGTAATTTGCACGAGTATAAAGATACAACCCACCCCAACCCCCTCAGCCCCATTAGAAGTTTACAATCTGTTTAAGAGAAGAAAACAAAACTGTAAAATAAAAGCAGTGTGGATGGTACTCATCAAACACTCCTAGAGATGAAAGAGGGTGCATGATCCCTTCCATCAGCGTGATTCTGCAACTGTAGGGCAGATTGCATTTTGGTAAAAGAAAACAGATCAGATCAATAGACATCTGAAATGATGATGGCAAAATGTAATGTCAGAATAAGAAATGTGCAGTTAACACGTAGAAGGATGGAACAAGCAGAATATGCTGCTAGAGTGAGCAGGAGCTGAACGGAAATAGGACTTGACCTTTATTCTGCAGGCAACGTTGTAAGCTCAGGGTAGTGATACTTTCTTTAAAAAGTTTTAGTTTGCTACAGTGTGTAGACAGTGGGGCCCTAGTGGCATAGTGGTTATGCACTGGGCTGCTAACCGTAAGGTCAACAGTTCAAACCCATCAGCAATTCCACAGAAGTGAGACAAGGCTTTCTAATCTCATTAAGAGTTACAGTCTCGGAAAACGACCAGGGGCAAGTTAGAGACCCTGTCCTACAGTGCTCCTATGAGTGGGAAACAGTGCAATGGCAGGGATAGTTTGAGTTTGTAGAAAGCAGGAGGTACTGAAAAGGAAAAGGCCCAGGCCAGCCAGAGAAAGTACTCGGCGACTGTAGGGTGCCCATGAAGAACTGAAAGTGTGACTCTGGGAGAGGACAGCGGAAAGAAAATCAACAAAAGCTCATAATTCTTTCTATTGTAGTGAAAATGGGAGGTGTGCTTTTGCACAAAGGAATCGGTATCAAAAAGTACAAATGACGTCAGTTAAGAGGGAAGATTATTATTATAAAAATGCTCTATGGGGAAAAAAGCAACCACCTTCGACCCAGGACCTGTAGCAAGAAGTAACAAGTCTGTGACTCTGTAAACCACAACTCCACGGGCTTTACTCCTTCCTTGTAGCAAGCCTACAGATGCCCACACTAGTATGTGACCAAGCCCTTTCCACAGTGGGAACCCTGGATACTAAAAAGTTTTAAAAACTAATTTGGTAGCAAAATCTGAACTGAACTCTCAGGAAACAATTTGTAACCTTCATTTATCCCACTTAACAAATCATACCTGAAGAAACATTAACCATCAAAATCTAGGGAATCTTTAAATATCGAAATTTATAGAAAATCACACCCATCAATATATTTATCCATCTACACACTTAAAAGAAAGTCCTACTTAATCCAGAACAAAGTGATGTTGTATATGAAACTTATCATGTGCAAACTGAACTACCCATGCTTAAAAAACACAAATTTGAAAAAAGGAATAATTCTACCCACCAAATAATACAGAGCAAAATGGAAGAAGTAAATTTGTTGTTGGATTTTTGATTTTATAGTTTTAAGGTATGTATTTCTCCTACAAAGTTCCCCTAAACATAATCTAATTGCTTTGTCCAGGCTTCATGACAGAAAATATTGTTTGTTCCAAGACTGATGGAAAAACAGCCAGTTGGCAATCTTCTGCAAAGTTTACCAGCACCCCATAGAGCAGCGGTTCACAACCGGTAGGTCGTGACCCCTTTGGGGGGCAAATGGCCCTTTCACAGGGGTCGCCCTATTCATAAGAATAGCAAAATTACAGTTTTGAAGTAGCAATGAAAATAATTTTATGGTTGGGGGGGGTCACCACAACATGAAGAACTGTATTAAAGGGTTGTGGCAATAGGAAGGCTGAGAACCACTGCCACACAGCGTCTTTCTGTAGGATTTTTTAAAAGATACCTTAAACTGGACAAAAATTTGACTAAAGCATTCTTTTATAATCCAAGATATAACTCCATAACTGAACTGCCCAGTATCTTAGCCTCTAGATTAAAGACATATCACAAATTAATCTGAGCTGAGATGTGTGATAGGTGAACATATACATAACCAATTTTCAAAAGTTGGTATGAGTAGACTGTAAAATAGATCATAATTTTATACTGATTTTGCACTGAAATGATAATCCTTGATGTGCATTGGGTTAAATAAAATAGATTATTAATGTAGACCTTTCTTAATGTGCAAATCAACTCATGGCCACTGGCTTTTCTGTTCTAGTCATCAGACAACGGAGCAGAGATGGATGGGGAGTGGAGTGATACATGCCGCAGAGATGACACGAGTATCATTCTGATGGAAAATATCAGACAAGCAGGAATGCATACCACATGATCCCAGTTTTATACAGTTTAGAATATGGCAAACCTAATAAATGGCACAAAGAGAACAAAGATTGGTTTCTGTTCATGGTACTGAATAAGCCTCCTGTTACAGAGTATGAGTTGCACAGAGTGTACTTAAAAGATCATGACGTAGCACTTAAAGAGTTTCTTCTTGATGCTGTGAAAGTTATATTTAATTTTAGAAAGTCCCCCCACAGAAAGAGAGGGAGAGAGAGAGAGAGAGAGAGAGAGAGAGAGAGAGAGAGAGAGAGAGAGAGAGAGAAAGGTAGCCTTTATTTTAAAGGCTAACCCAGTTGCCAAAAAAGTAGACTTGACTCATGGTGACTTCATGTGCATCGGAGCCAAACTGTGTAAACCACAGGGTTAACAGGGGTCCTATTTTCTGAAGTTGATCACCAGGCCTTTCTTCTGAAGGATTTCAGGGTGGACCGTACCATCGCCTTTTCATTTGTAGTGAACATATTACCAGTTACACTACCCTGAGGGCTACTAACCTAATTTATTCCCCCTCCCAAAATTACTTAAAGCCAACTGCTGTCCTGAATTTATAATTTATCTAGTTAATGCTTCAACTAAACTTAATTTTTTTGAAGTTTTTAACTAAAAAATAATAATTCCATTATATAATCATTATGTTGTATTTGCATGATAAACTTTCAGAAGCAGATAATTTTAAATGGTTTTTACAAGGGTGATATTTTTTCTTTACAACTAAGGTTTACATGTTTAATTTTGTAATTACAGTAACAATTCTTAACTGGAATTCCAAAGGATAACCCTATAGTCCACAAAGTTCAAAGTATTTAACCAATGAAGCCGAAAACCCCAACCACACCCCCTGCTATGGAGACTAGATCTTGATGGGCATGCACTGCCTCATCCTCATCTTCTCCCACAGAGCAGTGGTGGTGATGAGCCACTACCTTTCGCAGTTAGCAGCCCGACTCTTCTCCCACAGCATCACCAGGGCTCTTTAATGGATACTTATTAAAATTTTAATGTAATTAATATTTAGGGTTCATTTACTATTTCTTTTACAGTCCCAATATGCATATTTAAATTTCTTATTTGCCTTTGCCCCATAATTGACAAGAGGAGTGGAAAAAAAGGACCTTTGGCAAGAAAGGGTTGATCTTGAGCAAAATAGAGGGGCTTCTATTTCAAAATACAACACAAAATGATATGGAGCACGACAGCACACCAATCCAATCTTAGACAAGCGATTACTTAAGACAATTTTCAAAACAATATTTGCATTATTATGAGAAGACATGTGATTATCCAGTAATACATTATTAACACAGATCTGTTATTTCTTAAAAATGTACTTAATATATCACTCTGCCATATTTCTGTTCCAAGCCAGACAGCTGGCAAGGTTTTTAAAACGTAAACATTGGACAGGGCAGAGGGGAGGTATAAAGTTGGGCACCAAGAAGAAATTTTGAATATGGCTGAAGAACACGATGTTCACCACTGACTCGAGACAAATCAGATAACATATCCACATGGAGTACACAAGTGCAGAAGACAAAAGCACATAGTAGGTACATTTTTTATGTACTCAGTGTGCTTCTTTCCAAGTAGTATATCACATCTCCTGAATCTCCAGGCCTAGAAGCAAATGAATGATGACTCCACATTTACCTAGCCACCTAACCATTGTAGGTAAGGCCGGGAGGGAACTGAGAAGATGGGCATCATTCAGAGGCAAAGTCTCCTGGTCTAGTGGCCGATGTCTAGGGACCCTCATGAAAGGCTGATGGAAATACTGAGGACAGCTTGTCCCTATCCTACAAGACACAGTTGGTATAGGAAGGAAGGACTTTAATCAGTCTGAATGATTTATGTATTCTTTGTACTGCTTTAGTGAAACAGGATATTTTTATATCTCATTTTTTAGCAATAGTCTTTAAAGTAGCTCTATACTAAAGAGGTAAAATGTAAATGACTCAAACATTTAAAACAGGTAAAAGTGAGCTAGATCTAAACCAAACAAAACTTATTTTCTTACACAGCATCCAGAATTTATGGGCACTAAAACAGATTCCTCTCCTCTGGGACAAATGTCAAATAACTGGTCTATCAATATTTGGGGGTAAAAAATCTGGCATAACAGTCTTATGACTCCTGCAATTTTAAAGCACAGGCTACATTTTAATAACAATAATAAATAAACAAACTATTGAGACAAAATACAATACCTTCTGTGTGCTATTCTCCGAAACGTGAAAATAGTGGATCCTGAGAACAGAGTTCTGAAATAGCTCACAATCCAAATATTTCCTGAAAATTAAAAAAAAGTCTTACTTCAATTGCATTTTACCTGAGTTTCAGTAGTATGTTTTACAACAGAATTTTACCTAAAATAAACCATCTCTTTAAAAAGAACAACCACATCTAACGAAACAGCCTGCACTGCAAAATCATTTACCAAAATACACTATTTCCTATTCACATCGTAAAGGCAATCACTTATTCTTAAGGATGTGAGATTATCAATAATAGGAAAAGAAAAAGAATTTGGATCAAGGATTCTAGGAGATAATGTATTAAAATTATCTTAACGTCATCACGGAGTTTCAAACACCTCATTTTCCCCCAAGCAGTTTTATTCACAAGTAATTTACATATCAAATAATTCAATAGTTTAATCACGGAGAATTGTAAAATCATCCCCTCATCAATTTTAGGCCATTCCCCCTCCCCCATGGTCAAATTGCCTTTAAGATGCTTCATGCAATCACACTCTGTTATACTGCTCCCCAACCCCATCCCTCTATTCCCAATACCCCCTTGTATACATAATTATCATTATGTATCCACTCCTCCTGTGCATCACAGCTGGGAGACCCATGGGAAAACAAAATTGCACTAGTATACAGACAAAAATACTAACAATATGTAAGAAGGAAAAGACCCCAATAATCAAAAAGCCAAGGAAGAAATTCCTGTCCTGGAATCTGTAAGAGGTACTTCCACCCAGAACAAATTCAGGTTGTATCAGGGAGGTGAGCACACAATGATATGATCTTTTTGTTCTTTGATGACTGATAACTGATCCCTTTGGCACCTCGTGATCACGCAAGCTGGTGTGGTTCATATCATTGTGAATGAGAGGGAGTGCGGAGTGGAGACCCAAAGCCCATTTGTAGGCCACTGGAGATCCTCTTACAGAGGGGTTTCCAGGAGGAGATAAGCCAGTCAGGGTGTGATGTAGCAATGAGAAAAACACAACTTTCCTGTAGTTCCTAAATACTCCCCCCCCCTCCCCCCGCCCCAACTATCATGATCCTAATGCTACCTTGCAAGTCTGGCTAGACCAGAGGATGTACACTGGTACAGATAGGAACTGGAAACACAGGGAATCCAGGGCGGATGATCCCTTCAGGTCCAGTGGTGAGAGTGGCGATACTGGGAGCGTAGAGGGAGAGTGGGGTGGAAAGGGGGAACCGATTATAAGGATCTACATGTGCTCTTCTCCCTGGGGGAAGGACAACAGAAAAGTGGGTGAAGGGAGACACTGGACAGGGTAAGATATGACAAAATAATAATTTATAAATTATCAAGAGGGGAGGGGGGAGTAGGGAGGGAGGGGGAAAATGAGGAGCTGATGCCAGGGGCTTAAGTAGAGAGCAAATGTTTTGAGAATGATGAATGCCATGAATGTACAAATGTGCTTGACACAATTGATGTATATATGGATTGTGATAATAAAATAATAAAACGATTTTAAAAATTGGCTAATACCAAGGGCTCAAGTAAGTAAAAAGAAAATGTTTTAAAAATGATGATGGCAACATATGTACAAATGTGCTTGATACAAATGATGTATGGATTGTTATAAAAGCCACCAATAAAATGATTTATTAAAATAAATAAATAAATTCAGGTTGTATCTATTGGGTGGATCAACTGGCCAAGTTTGAGTTCGATATAGGATAATCAAGCTTACAAATGTCTCATTCTTTTTCTAGACCACCAGACACAAAAAAATTTAACTCAGAATCAGAAGAACTCTAGTTAAACAATAACATTGAGATGTAGGAAAGTTTATATTTTGAGTAATTAAAAAGCAGATGAAAGAATTTTTAGACAGCAAGACCCAGAGCTTATAGTTGAAGGTTGGAGCAACTAAGGAACCTGCATGAATACAGGCTCCTAGACGCTGAATAATAGTTAACAATACGGAGACTACGGTTCAAACTTCCAACAGCACTACCGCAGTATTTCGAACAGTGTTCATAATGGTGATAGCTGGATTGCATTTCTAGATTTCTCAACTTGTAAACCACAACCTAAAGTCAAGTCTCACAAATCAGGGCATTGCCTCCAAAAAATAAAATTCAAAAGTTGACTAATTTCCCAATACTATGCAGCTTTATTTTATTATCACTACATCGCCAGAACCCTTAAGTTTCCTTAAAACCACATGCAGGTACCAAATTTCTTTGAGTGATGTTTCCTTAACATTCTCAGGAAGCAGGGCCTTTGACCACAAAACATCTGGGTCATTTTCTCAGTATTGTGCTGACTGTGATTCTCCCTGTGACCACGTGCCCCCTCATCCACCTTTGAACTCCGATTCCTAGCCCTGTGCAAGGTATATAACTCAAGTTCAGTAAGTGTCAGATAAATGAATCAGTGGATCTTGGAACTTCAAACTAATTCTTACACCATGCTGAAGTAAAAATAATACCATAGAAGGAAAGAAAGTAGTTAAGTGAGTCAACTATGAATAATACCTACCTTTCATCATTATTTCTCTTCCCCACCCCACCGCCTTTGCTCTCCATGCCTCCCCCTCTCATTCATTTCAGCTCTCTCCCACATCCACACTTGATCAGTCAGGCTGAACGGTAGGTCTCCTTTTTGGTCAGGTGAGTAGGGGAAGCTAGTTCTGCTGCCCATGGGCCTGCACCAGTTAACATGGTAACTGAAGCTTAAGAAACTTCTCTAAGCACACAAACCAAGGAGCCTTGGTAACGTTGTGGGTTCTACGTTGGGCAGCTAATTGCAAGGTCACCAGCCATTTCTAGCCCTGTGCCAGGAAAAGAATAGCAACCACGGCTGTGAGGGGTTGTTTGTTTTTTGTTTGAAGCCCCAAAATTAGTAGCTCCAAAGCCACCCCTACATACTACTTACATATGTAGGTCAAAGAATCATAATGCAAGCAAAATGTTTCCAAGGTTCTAAAAGAAGACAGAAGTCATCTATTTAATAAGATGAAAACTGTTAGAGAAAACAAAACAAACAAAAAATCTGAAAGCAGACAAGCTTGCAATTAAATAAATATATGTAATACAGATAGCTACATAGTTTTCTATTAGAACACCACATTTTCAGCAACTAAATAAAAACATTATCAAATCATCTTATATAATATATAATAAAAGTTAACCTTATTTTGACCTTCTTCATGAAACAAGCAAGGCTCTTCGTCCAATAAAGTTCCATCTGAACTATGTAAGATGATAAAGCAATACCTTAATTGCATTCATTTACATGACTCTGAAATTATTCCTGGCTGAAGTTACTGGTTGCAAGGTCACACAATACAAAAAGATGAAGGGCTAATCCTATTTGACCATCTGACAATAGCCCCACCCCCACCTGCCTCATTGTTGGTGTTCGCACCATCCAATGGATTCAGACTCATACCAACCCCAGTGATCCAGCAATCTTTACAGGATCAGATTTTTCTCCCCTGAAGTCACTGGGTGGATTAGAACTGCTGGCCTTTCTTTGGTTAGCACCTAAATATTAACTTGTGTACCCGCAGGTACATCCTTTCTTGCCTCATCAGAAAATATGAAATACTTAAAGCCATTACCAGGTGCAGAAATCTCTATGTGAAACACATAATAAGCACACACACACACACACACATACTGATTTTAAACATATATAACAAGAGCACAACCTTGAGTACATTCATTGTGTATTATGGTTTCCTTAATAAATTTAATCTCCTTGCGTACAGGTTAAAAAATATAGATATGTTTCCATGCCCTATCAAGCATCTAAAATCAAAACAGAAAACTGCTAAGTGTATTCAAGTTGGTTCTAAGTCAGCCAGTTTTATACTATGGACACCAAAGCAAAACTACCAGGTCCTGTACCATCCTCAAAATTGTTAGCACCTTTGAGTTCATCATTGCACTTATTGTGTTACTCCATCTGATTAAGGGTCTTCTTCTTTTTCATAGGCCCTCCACTTTACCAAAATGATGTTCTTCTCCAGGGATTGGTCTCCCCTATAGCGTGTCCAAAAATACAGGAGATGAAATCTCACCGACCCTTGCTTCTGAGGAGCATTCTGGCTACAGTTCTCCCAAGATTCTTGTTGCAGCTCATGGCACAGCCAACATTCTTCAGCAACACCATACTTCAAATGTACCAATTCTTCTTCAGTCTCTCTTCTTCGTTGCCCAGCCTTTACACACACGCAAGGCAACTGAAGACACTATGGGTTCAGTTAGGAGTACTGTAATCATTCTTTCTTTAACTCCAAAGACAGGATGCTAGGTACATTAAGAATGTTTGCTTTCAGTTTGTATTACCAAAACAAATGCAATATCTGTTCAAGTAATTTGCTTAAAGAAATAGACTTTATAGGTTTTTACAATCCAGAAACTGACAATCGTGGACTGCAGAGCACAAATGGCATTCCTCAGAACATACCAAACCACACACACACACACACACACACACACACACACACACACACAAAGTTAATCCTAGACTCTAAAATAAAGTAGATAATATGAGTACTTGAATTAGAAAATGGAAGAGAATCAAAAGTATGGGACTACCATTTTAAATCTACAATATTAGTACAAATACAGAGCATAAGTTATTTGTTTTAGGTTTACTGACATATCACTGTGAGATTCATTAAGTTTCTATTAGATATTTCTCCCATTTAATTTACTAACCATGTACTTTTATACTACTCAAGCACATATTTTGAGATTTAAGGAGTCAGTATAAGGGACACAATGAATATCATATAATTTATGCTTCTTCATCTTCCCTATCTACAGAGAAGGGCCAGGCTTTTTCATATGTAAATTGATATTTGATCCTATCATTTTAATTGGTGTTATTCCACAAAGAAAACAATGATCAATAATAGTTATTAAGCACTACATTACTAAATAAACTCTAACTTCACATCTTTGTGCCCCTCCCAAATAACTAAAATAATCCAATCTCTGTAAATGAAAATGAATTCATTTTAGAATAACTCACTAGTAAGCAAGTACATAAATAAGTTTAATC